GCAATTGGTCATTTTAAATTAACAAAGAAGTTAAAACGAATTAATCGTATTTTGTTTAATAACTTTCTGTCGTTTCTCATCCAATGGGCTTTATATCTAGACCAGAGTTTCCCAAAGTGATATATTAGGCTCTGGGTACATAAATAACTTCCCGGGGTGTCATCATCAGCTCACTATACGTCCCTACTGAGTCATAGGTCATAGTCAACCACGCTGTCCCAGTGCGAGTTGATTTCACACATATCTTTGAATTTCTTCGTAGATATGTGCAGGTTGCATCACGATATTTTCCTTCACCGTGCAAGATACTGGTATTAACTTTAGGGATTTACAAGTAGAAGAAAAAATATTAACAATGTGTTGTTAGAAACCTGTTGAATTTTTAGAGCTGTCTATAAGTTCTAAAATCTCTTATATAAACCATAATTTTCATCTAGACTGTAGCTTAGCTGCATCGATCTGTTGACGAAGGCGAAGAAACAAAAAATGTTACTTTTCATACACAAATGTTTCTTCTTATAGTACATTTATTTTCACTTGCGACATATTTATTCATCAAAATCATTGTTGCGTTATGATTTCATTTCACTAAACACGAATATTGTATCGGTTATTTTCAGTTGAATTCTTCAATACGATGTCTTTAATGTGAATTCGGGGTATTTCAAATGAATTAAATACATTTTATATCGCTCAACGAATTTTCAAATATGAAAATATTTAATTGTAAAGGATCTTGTATTCGCGACGATTGAACAAAGGACAAAAGGAAAGGATTTTTTGTCATTAAAAAAGCTTATATGTAATTCAATAGTCCACATTTTATTATTCTTTATTACATACTAGTTGTTGCCAGCGATTCCGTCTGCGTGGAATTAATAAAATATACTAAGCAGCTTATGTTTTCTTCCAAACTATGTTCTATATGTATGCCAAATTTCATCGAAATCCGTGAAGCCGTTCCGGAGATTGCTGGAGATGGATGGATGTTTATTAGAATAAATATCCATCCATCCATTAAAACATTCGCATTTATAATATTAGTAAGATAAATAATATATATCTTTTGTTAATAGACACTTAGATTCTTAATTTATTACACGAATATATCCAAACTGTTTATAAAATGTTAGTTTTTCTTTGTCAAAGTCGGAAGTAAAGAGCAATCTGTTGTTAGTAATAGCATTTTACTGGAAAATAGACAACGTTTTCCTGACTTTAATGTATGCACGGTAGCGCGTTGGAGATTTATCGTGTTCTCTGCCGTCAAGGAAAACAGAACAGGAAAAGTCGTGTAAGATACGATGAATATTTCTAGATTATTTTATTTCAAATAATAGATGACTTAATAGAGACGTTATGTAGAGCCTGGCTTTGAGTTTTATTATTTAACTAAAATTGCTATTGGAAAAAAAATACACTTTGCTCGTAATATTAGCTTTTTTATTATGCCCGGTCAGTCTATAAGTTAAAGATTCTTGTTGCGTCACCAATGCGAATGCGAATTGTAAAATAAAAAAAATACATATATAATTTTTAACTTAAAAAACCCAGAAAACGCATTCTTGGCATTAATAAAAAATCACGAGCCTACTTACCCTGAGTGGAGTACTTCCTTACAGTCATAACAGTTGGAGGTTGCAAACGTATGTTACTCCTTAACCCGTGTACGATGTAGAGCTAAAAAGCTACTAGAAGGGACTCTAAAAGTTTTCCTTTGTAGCGGCTACGTGTGGACGACGTTACGATGTTTATAGATCCTCATAACTTGACTTTAATACTTTCTTATGTCCGAGAGGTCATTGCCTCATAAAAATGCTGCATAAAGTATACCATTACTATAATGCAGTAAGTACTTCGGTATTTTTAACTAAAAAACCTTTTAATTAAAAATTAGCTACTTTTTCTTTCGATAGGTTTTTATTTGTTTAATAAGTTTAAAAACAAAGAAATGTAACGAATACAAAGAACACAAATTAAAATGAAAAACAAATACGTAGTGACAACGTTTAATCCATTCTTTATACGCATTGAAAAGGCGCAAAAACGTGCATAAAATTTCCAAACAATATTTTTAACAACTTCTCTTTACGAAAGCTGTTCGCATTTTAAATCTATCCTAAGTCAATGTTTGCGAAGCTCCCAAATTACCGCCTTTCAGATCGCCTGATATTGTATCGGGAAATGAAACACAGTACATATATCTGCATGGTAATATAAATATGTCAATATGTTTAATAAACTCCGAAGCTACTTACTTAACCGACTTTGTATAAAATTACATAAGTGCGTTATTTGGTTACTTATAAGATTTAAGACTTTTAAATCGATTTTGGTCTTCCAGATTTATAAGTATAGTTCTAACCGTGCAAAGTCGGGTGCATTTTCGTTCAAATAACCAGAAATATTTTCTAGAAACGTAAAGCATATAACTCATTCAAGATTTTCAATATTCATCCAATGAAATATATACATATTAATTTCTAATTTGGCTGTCAATTCTCGTATACCTAATTGTTTACGGAAGCATTCAGTTGGGAAATTAAAAAGTTTGTGTTTTGATAATTATATTATTTCATATTCCGCGTGTACATAATTAAGATAAGAAAAGAATTTTACAACAAAAATGAGTTGATATAATGACTCATTTTGTCTAAGGTTTAGTTTGTACACAAAGGAAATATTGCGGAGTACATTCTTGGTAATTAAATAATACACTAAAGCCTCGTTGAAGGAAATGTCTTCATTACGTGTCTCGAATGATAATGATGTATAAATTTACATTACTTAATTGTAATTAGGCTTTTAAGAGTAAGTTAACTAACGAGTACTCATTTTATAATTGAGCAAACATATGAATGACAGGGTAAAGATAAAGTAATACTAGAGTTTTTTTCTGTCACAATAAGTTTTCATTTATAATATCGTGTACGACTCTTTAACTTACCGCTATAATTAAATTATTTCAAAGTTCTGTTATTTTTCTTTAAAAAAATACAGTTTATAGATAACCGTTTATTTTCAGCGACAAAATACCGGTACCAAAAAGTACCGTACCAATGTATTTTGTTCCGGCAGTGAAAGTCAACACTTGGATTTACAGGTACAACTCCATGTTTATTTACGAGACTTTTAATATGCATAAAGGCAGTTAAAGTAACCCACATCGAATCGACCATGAGTAAGGAATAAGGGGTTTGTAGGTCGGTCAGTAGATATTTATTTTACCTTTCTACTTTCATTCATCAGCTCACTATATGTCCCCACCGAGGGGCTCGGAGCCTACCCTAAATTAAGGGTGATAAGGCCATAGTCAACCACGCTGGCCAAGTGCGGGT